TGAGGGCGTTTGTTTTGCACGCACCTTTTGTTTCATGGCCGCGAAAGCAGATACATTTTCTACGACCATGTAGGACACACGCCGAACTCGGGCCACGTGCCGACCTTTATGCGTTCTTGGACGATACGCATGCCGCGTGCGACCCAGCAGACGCATGCGCCGCATTCGTCTCGAAACCCACGCCAACATCGATGTGCACCCGGGCAAGACGCGTTTTTGGAGTCCCGTAAGAAGACGTTGGTTGCCAGTCGTGCACCAGCTTCGCGGCACACTCGCGCCGCGGCTTTTTCCAACGCTGCCCCGCGGGTTGCGAGAACACCGGCAGTCGGACACGCTGTGCTGTGCGGTGGTCACCCAAGGCATCGAGTACACCTCCACGCCGGCACCGCTGTGGCCCGAGGGGCACGGGCGGAACTCCGGAGCCATGACTAGTGCGGTTAGTAGGGCACGTGAGCCGCTGGGGCCTGCCTGGGACAGCATCAGCGCTCGCGAAGCCAGGTCAGAAAAGAAGCTCGTGCAAGCAGAGACGTCTAAGCAGGCCGCGGTGGCTCGCTGCCATCCTCACAGTGGCTGTCCAAGGGTTGCGCTCAACAAAGGCAGGATGCGAGCGCCCGCCATCGGCAAATTCATCGCATGTCGGCAACTCGAGCCCGGCTTCTTGCAGCTGCGCCGTTGCCTTTGCTAATTCACCCACGTCGGGGGTTGCCGGAGCAATGCCTTCCAGGCTGAACAACTGCACGCGGCGGAGGGCTTCCGCCACAACACACTGGTGCAGGATTGGCAAAGTATCTGCCCAAGATGCCCAGTATGCCGCACCTCGGCCTTCCAGGGCACGGCGCAGTCCCAAGCCGCCGAGCTTAAACGGCAGCGTAGCACGTCTGCGACCGAGGTCGTCAATGTGTATTCGGGTATCATTGGCGAGGAGTTCGGCCAAGCAGCGTGCAACTCCGTCGTCGTGTGTGCGTGCAAACTCGTCCGTCAAGGACGGTGCTAAACCGGAGGAGGGAGTTGCTACGTGGAGCGGCACGCATGAGAAAGTAGCCACGTCCGATTGAAGGTCAGGCAAGCTTCGGATTCTATCCAGCACGCGACAATGGCTGGCGAGGACAAAGGAAGCCTTGTTGTTCATGCGGCAAGGCACACGGGCGCCTCCCCCGGCGCCGTAGGGAGCACTTCAGCAAGGACCAGCGGTTGATGAATGTCGACGTACCCCTCGCTGATGGCCGCCGCGTCGAGGTATTCGCCAATGGACTGCCTCTTTGACAGGGTGCCCAGGCGGCCGTCGACACCACCCTGGTCTCGCCAGTTACGTGGGCGGCCGGCAGCCGCATGTCGATCGTGTCCCCCGCACGGCGCTTGAGCAGGCGGCGAAACGCAAACGCCGAGGTTGGCGGCAGGTTCGGCTCTGAGGCCGTGGCCTTCTTACGGCAGTTGGCCAAGGCTCGTGCACGCGGGTCCCCTACACCGTTGGACGGGCATGCTGGTTGTGGCAGCGCAACGGGTGCTAACTTACTCGCTGCTTGAGTTGCCCTTGGCGGTAGCGGATCTCGGTGACCTGCTGGCGGATGCTCGTGACACCAAGCCAGTGCCTGCGAGCCGACGTCCGGCTCCGTGCTAATTTGCCCGTCTCCCCGCCGCTTGAACCGCGGCCTGCTTGCGAGCGTGGTAGCTAGCTGTTGCCGTAGCCTTCGGAGCTCAGGCGCAGCCGGAAACAGGTCCGAGGGAAAAATAAAAAATGGTCTCCACTGACGCGCGTCTCGGGCCAGAGATGCCTTCAAGCTCACACAATTGCCGAAGATGTCCATCCTGCCGGGCCGTCCAGCCCTGCAGACGACAGTCTTCGGCGAAGGGTCGCGTGCAAAGTGCACTCACCACGCGGCTGGCGAGCGGATAGACGACGTCGCCGAGGCACGGTAGCTCATCGACATTTCCGTGCCAGCGACATGGCAAAGACAACCGGTGGTTGCGAAAGTAGGTGTCGATGCATGACTCGTCCTGCCACGACAGACAAGCCAGGTACGAATACGAAGACATGTTGGGCGACAGCTGCACCAACCTCGCGGCAGCCGCGTGCGGTTGCGCGCTTTGTCAGAGTGAGAAGGGCATGCCGCGATATCGTCGGAGTGAAGAAGTTCAGGAGATGGAAGAAAGGGGGGAGGAAGAGGAGGAGGAGGAGCAAGCAAGACGAGGAGGAGGCGGAGGAGAGTAGGAGATCCAAAGGAACATGCCTGGTATGTTTGCGTAAAAAGGAGCTTGTCGAAGGCAGGTGCTGCTGGCAGTTGTGCAATTACGGCAGTGATCGTTTGGCTCAGATGATGCATATGAAATGCTGCGAATCATAAGATGTATGCTTCCGTTACGGGTGCCTAGCATACCGGAGCCGAACCATGAATGGTAAATCGGTAAATCAGTAGTCAGGCCCACTTGATTCCTGCGCATCCTTTCCATGCCATGCAATCCCAGCCTCGGTGTGGCGAATGATTCCGTAGTCAGGGGCACTTGCCGGAGCAGGCCTGTTTGGGCCCGCCTGCTGCAAGCTCCACAAACACGTGGTAATGTGCTGGCTCATCACGGAGGATGGACAAGCTTGAAGGTTCGTGTCGTCGAGATGCTTACAAAAGCGCGTACCGAGCAACTGTGGCAAGAAGTTCTGCCTTGCATTTCGGAACACGGTCAAGATCCTCTTTCAGCACAAATGGAGGACTTCTTCACCGCTCTTGCATCCAGCAGCTCCTTCCGACGGTGTTGGACAGGGCAGACGCGAACCCCCTTTATTCTTCCTGCCCCTTTCGTAGAAGGCTTGCTGTCTTTAACCGACATCGTGGAAGGACTGTCTGCTCCTTGCCGAACATGTGAGGCGGCTCTGACTCTCACCGATGGCGGCGACTTTCGTTGTCCCATCAGCCTGCCGCCAATAGACTCTCTAGACGACCTTCTCGAAGTGCTACGATTTGGCACGGTGTTTCTGAACACTGCCGGGCTTCATTGGAAGAGAGCGGCCGAGATTTGTTTGGCTGCAAGTTCGGCTTTCTTATTCCCAACAAATGTAAATGTGTACATCACCGGACCTGAACGCATGACATCAACAGATGCGCATACCGACAACCACGATGTCATCATCTTGCAAACTGCAGGTGCCAAACACTGGCAGATCTTTGCTCCTCCACCACGGAACTCGCAGAGTCATCCATTGTATCGAGGGAAGCACGGCGACAAGTTGTTGCTGCATGAATTGGGAAATCCGCTACTAGATGTCGTGTTGCATGCTGGCGAGGTGCTGTTTGTTCCGATGGGGTTTGCACATCTTACTAGCACCCAAGGCACAGGGCACGCAGGTGTTTCAGTGCACCTGACCTTGGGACTTTCAACTGCCGACTACAACTTCTGCCTCAATGGACTCAGGACAATTCTGCTGGAACAGATAGGGCGACCGTCAGACAAAGCCGAGACGTCCAGCCAGTTATGGTGGCACTTATTATCCCCGGTGCCAGTGGGATATTTGGCGCCGAGCCGGCTGCGGTGTCCGTCAGCACACGCGGAGTATTTGCAGCACCTCACGAAATTGCTTGAGGCAACGATTTTCCCCTGGCAAGAGGGACATGATCTAGGAGAGCTCCCAGAAGTCCAGATGGGTGTGTCTAAACATCTCGAGCAGCAGGTCGAAAGCTTGACGATGCAAGCAGAAGCCTATGCCGAGGTAGTTGCGGGGAGTGGAAATGATGGCCCTGGCGCATTTTATGCTGCAGGCCCGAGTGAGACTCGAAGCCAGTACCGGCAGTCGATGCTAATACACCAGTTGGCAGAAAACAAGCGCAAACGTGATGCGACACATGCTGGTGACTTGCGATTTGTGAAACGGATTGACCCACGGGACGGGGCAGCAAAAACATTGGCCGACGTACGACAGTATTACGCAGACTCTGGGCTTTCCGCAGATGCAGCGGACCAGCATTGGATTTCTTGTTGCGAGTCAATCTATCCGAATGATCGCCCCCCTGAAAATCTCATGAATGAGCTGGTGGCTGCCAGTGAGCGATGTGACGCCTTACTCAACTTCCTCAGAAGGAGAACGCCTCACTTGCAGTCGGACATTGCCGTTGAGAGAAACGAGCTTGCTGCCAGGTGCGTTGGCGGCTCAGTTACGTACTGTAAGGGGTTGGCTGCCGGCATTCAGTGGTCTGCTTGCGTTTCCAGTCGGAAGCCTGGGGATGTGCACATGCCGAGTGTCTCAGAAGGATTGGGAACTTCGTGCTGAACGCAAGTCTTCTGAGAGGCTCGGCAAACCTCGAGAGCGTCGCGTGTGGGACTCTGTTGATTGAAGCAGACTTTCAAATCCTTGTGAAGTAGTGCGAACCACTGTGCAGCTCCAACGTGCTCCGAGTCATGACAAGCTATGGGGTATCTGCCCAATCTTGGCTCAGCAGGGTAGCTGTAGCCAGCTTGCTTCAGCCAGTTGTTGCGCGACCGCGTACCTCCAGGCACTTCAAGTTCATTGTTGGACAGCGCTCGAACATGTCTCAGCAAGTGAACTTGCCGGCGCAACAAGGCAATGCAATGAAGATATGGCTGTCAATTTATGCAGCCTTGCTACTGCATCTTGCAGCAGCCGTGGCCTTGTGCAGAAGCCGTGCATGAAATCGGGCACACAGTGTTGTTGAATCAAGTGGTCGAAGCCCAGTAACGGTCAGGTGACTTCTGCAAGCTCAGTGCATGACAGCTTTGCTCCTGTGCAGGCCTTATGTGTTTTAGAGCCAACGCCCAAGCTTGCTTGTGGGCAAGCTGGGCTGGCCCTTCTGCCACATGTAAAAGGTGGCAAGACAGTATGCCAAGATGTGTTTTTTGAGGTGCAGGAAGTTCTTCAAGTGCTATCAAGCCTTCAACACAAAGTTCCTCGGATTGTAAGCTACAACAATGACGTGATCGGATCATTCGGTGCATGGATGCCAAGCAGGTGCGAAGACTGCACACTTTCGGGTTTCCAGCATGCGGGAAAGTGTGCTCGTTCGTGGCTGAAATGGTGCCAACAATTCAATCGTTTACTTCAGGGTTGCATGATGCTGTGAACATACCGGTGCCCCAACTCGTGGCGGAAAGCCCAGGTTGCCGAAGAAGGAGCTGCAGCAGAAAGGGAGGGCGACTCAGCAGTTCAGTCGTCGGAGGAGTTGGACGATGGGCCCATTGCTGATTTTGCAACATGCTGTTCCAGACATTTCCGTGTGTCTTGTTTCTTTGAATGGCTTTCACACCAACTGTGGAGGTGTGAGGCTGAAACCATTCCACAGTTTAGCCTGCGGAAACTTGGTGCGCCGGTCGCCAGCCCAAACTCTCTCAAAGTTTACCCAAGGTTAAAGGAGCAAATGCACGAAGATGGAGACATGCATGACTACTCATGTGGGCATGCGAGCTGCCCGTGGCGTCTCAAAGCTACCTTTCTCTCTCTCTCTTTACTTTTTTTTGCTGTTTCTCTGTGAGTTACAAGCAGCATAGAAAGAAAAAGAAAGATTGAGCTACAACGCTCAACCCCTGCTAAGTGAGAGTCAGACAGAAAGGAGCCACGGAAAGACAGATTGACTGCCACGCACTCCACATGTTGCGAAAGTTGGCAGTTAGCAAGTGTTGCTGGGAGTAGCTGAAAAACTTGCCCGAGACTCTGCCCCAGAAGTAGCTGACGGACGCAGTCGGCCGCGAAATTGACTGCTACTGTAATGGCTATTGCACGCTGCTTTTTGTCCTGAAAGTCTGTTTGGCACATCAGGGCACTGCGGTGTTTTCGGCGGTTCAAGCAGCGAAGGGATCAGGCAGTGTTATCGACAGGGCACATGCGCAATCAATCCAAGAAGATCCGGATTGGTGATGGCACAACTTCAGGTGTTCAGCGAGGAGAAGAAGTTCTGCAGCAAGAGGTCAGCTCGTGTTGAGCTTCCTGTTTCCAGCTAACTGTTTGAGCTTCGCCTGGCAGGCGTGTTTCGCGACATTTGGCGTGTTTAAACGCGTTTCGTTTAGCCTTAGCTAGCCGTGTTTCCATTTTCTTGCAGCCTCAAGCAAGATTCCAAGATGTGGGCTGGGAATCTGAGTGCGAGTCCTCTCGACTCGCCAGAAGTAAACTCTGATTTTGGCCTGCCGGCTGCGCGATTCGTGCCCTCACAGTGTTTAAGCACTTATCACTAATCCCTTCGGCATGACTTTTACCCGCCCCAGCCCTTGTCTCCTCGAGCTTCTCGTTGTGCAGATCTCGGGAGCTACGGCACAGCCACGACGACATGCAGGCGCACAGCATGCCATGCAGCTTGCCATGTCTGTCCACGTCTTTGGTAATGGAAGGCAGAGCAAGAGAGGCAGGATGCAGACTTGTCACAGGCACAGCTTGAGCGCCTCGGTGCAAAATCCGCCCGTGATTTTTACAAAAAAGGCGACCTGTCTTGTAAGGCTTGCGTCTTGGAGCAGCAAGATAGAGGCACAATGCGATACACCAACAGTCTCCTCTTCAACTTGTTGAGCAATGGCTGCTAGCAGGAGTTGGCCAATGCTTTTGCTTCAGATGAGAAAGACCTCAAGGCCGCCGCAACGGGTAAGTTACTGCCCCGACAGACTTAGAGGATCCTGATTTCTCTGACTTCTGAAGGAGGCCGAAGATCTCCGTTTCAAGGATGCCAAGGTCTTCGCTGAAGCTGAGAAGGCTTCGTCCGGGGTTTGCCAGGCGACGCTAGCCCGAGCACTGCAGTGACAGATTTCGAGTGCCGTAGAAAAGTCGGCCTTCTTGGAGATTGTCCGGGTGCGTGCAAGAACAGAAGATGGAGCTGCAGTCATGCACCTGAACTGTTTCAAGCGAAGCATATGTTGAAGCATCATACGCAACTGCTTTGTCCCACTTGTTTGGAGTGTCCGGAAAACTTGTGGTGCACGCATGCTGGAGAAAACGCTGTGCACATTCTGACATAGCTTTGCTGATGTCAGCCTTCGTCTGTCTTGCACCACAATTCAGGGACTTTCTTCAACTGTGGATGCCTTGGATCGTGCAGTTGGCATTCTTGGACACGAGCAGCGTTCCCTGGCTAAGCGTATTCTCAGGCAGCAGTTGGCAGCAGCTAGACAATTAGACGGGCTTTCCCGAGTCGCTGAGGCAGGGCTGCCCAAGGAGGTTCACTTTTGCAGATGGAGGAGAATGGAACTCCTATTGCGCTTTGCCAAGACTAGTGGGGGCTATTTGCAAGCAACACAGTTGCTATTAGTATGACAGGTGGAAGCCTTGTCAGCGATTGTGGAGGCTGGTTCTACCGTTTTTGCAACGACACAGGTTACGGCGATGGAAAGCCTCGGTCAAGGCATATGGGGTCAAGGTGGATGATCAGCGCCAGTTGCAGGCATTGCTGCAAGGCCTACTGGGAGCTTAAGTTTCTTTTGTTGGGAATATACGCACGGTTATCAGGAGATGATAATGCACATGTTTGTCATGGCACAATGTATCTTCAACGATACTAAGCATACAAAACGTTGCAAATTGCCTGTATTCCTGTTGTGTCGCTGCTAAGGTATGTTTTGCCGCCAGTATCTCCCATGAGAAGCCGTCCCAGAAAAATCGCAAATTGCATGATGCATCATGAGGTCTCGGGTAGTGAGTGAAGTGACAGAGCGAGGGGCTATGGTGCTGCGAGTGGGGCCAGGAAAAGGTGCAGTTCGAAGTTCGGCCGGAGCTCATTGGGGGTTTGAGGAAGGATTGCGAGGAGACTCCACCTGCAAGCAAGGGTTCTGAATCCTGCCAAGCGAAACAGGGCAGAGAGAGAGCTTGAAGGGTGGGAAGACTTGCAACAGGGGCAAGGACAAACACAAGTTCCGAATGTTGCGAAACGGAACCTTCAACAGGGAGGAGGAGCCGGAACCCAGCACGAGCAGAACTGCAGGCCGGGGTCGGCGAACAGAATGGGAAGTCTGGTCTCTCGACGAAACGTTCATGTCCACTAATCTTAAAAATCTCGCATGAACCTACTCTCTGCTCTGCTCGTCTCTGTTTGCCTGTGTCCGACGGGCTGTGTGTGTGTGTGTGGGTGTGTGGGGACCTGCCTAGTTCATGGAAGGAAGGGGTCGCTTCACTTTGCACCTTCATCGATTTAAAGGGGACAGGTAGCGCGGAGGGGCTATATACTGTCTCCGTCCTGGGCAGCTGTCCTGGGAGGACCCTACCCCAAGTGTCGTGTATGTATATGACAAATATGAAAACATGTAACATACGTATACAAAATATGATAGAATATAATGCATTCTAATCTAATCCAATATAATATAATTCAATATAATATAATATATCATGATATAATATTTTATAGTATAACATGATATAATATGTTATAGTATAATATAACACAAGATAAGATAACATAAGATACGATAGCAGAAGATAACATAAGATAACATAAGATAAGGTAATATAAGATAAGGTAGGACAACATTATATAAGATAAGATGAGATAAGATCATACAATACAATATATTAAACTATATTATATTATATTGTATTATATTAGAATATAATTATAATATAATATAATAAAGATATATTACATTATATTACAACAAATTATATTAAGTGAAATTAGAGTGTATTCTACTATGTTATATTATCTCAAATTAAAGTATATTATATTATAATGTGCTTTTTTATATTATACTATATTATACTACATTATGATATGTTATGTTCTATTATATCATACTATACTATATAGTATGGTATATTATGTTATGTTTTACTATAGTATTTTTGTTTATATTGTATTTTATTATACTATATTATACTATATTATATTATACTATATGATAATATACTATATTATATTACACTCTGTATTGCAATATTATATTGTACTATATTATACTATATTATATTGTGTTATCATTTATTATATTATATAATATTGTATTATATTGTATAGTAGTATGTTATATTACAGTATATTATGATATATTATATATTATATGCGATTAGATTTGATGAGATTAGATTATATTTATTTGAAATACAACCTGTAAAACAGAATGTAATATCATACGGTGTAACGGAGCATATACATACTTACATACATATTATATATATATATGTATATATATATACACACACATACATGTGTTGTTTGTTTCGCGTGCCATTTCTGGTGTTTGGCCTTTGTGGTGCCAACGAATGTTTTGCTCTCGTTTTCCTAGCAATTTTAGCATCATCTCGTTCACAGTGTCATGTGGTACAGTTTGGTTGCAGCGTTCCAGCAGTTCATCCATCAGGATTTCAGCTATGGCACTATGGCATCCGTTCGGTTTTGTTGTCCGAGATTTTGTTGTTTGTGGTATTTATATTTTGAAGATTCCTTTCCAAGCAAGAGACGAGGCCTGCGCGCAGAGACATCCGAAGAGGCATCGTTTGCTTTCGCATGCTTTCGCTGTCAGGCGTTTGGCGCAGACGTGCTGCTTTGAGAGACCACGCTGTTCCACATATTTCCACATCTAGCATGTCATGTCAGGAAGCAGAAGATGCCGCGCTGAACACCGCCTTTGGCGTAGAGCCTGCGACCTCCAAGCACGCCTCTGCTTTTGTCGCACTGACTTCTGCGCAGTAGTCTTGTAAGCACAGGGTCTGATTGCTTTCCACTTGCAGGTCACGGAGTCGCCATCTCATCGGGGTGCGACCCTGGTGCTGTGGTGCCAAGTCTTGTTGCTTGCAGTGTTGCGTGCAGTTGGCTGTCTACAGCACGTCGCGCAGCCCAGCCAGCCTTTTATCATCGTCTTTCTCACTTTTGATTGTGTCTCCAGCTTTCCACAAAAACTCAAACTCAAAACAACAACCGTACCTCTGAACGAACAGCTTGGACGCGTAAGTGGCTTGTGCCATGGGGGGCCAAGACAGGCTGGCCAAGGCTTTCGGCAATAGATATGCTGATGCATCAGCTGCAACTTCAGACAGCGCCGGCAGGCAGACGAGTTGAAGTCAAGCAGCTTCGTGTGTCCTGGCCGCGACATGCCAGGCTCTTTACCTTCCCTCTCCATGCGATATCTAAGCAAGCAAGCAAGCAAGCGAGCAAGCAAACAATCAAGCAACTTTGGAAAGGCAGTCGGCGGTCCCTGTGTAAGATCTAGATGGAGGCCCTGCATGCGGCAGCAAGCTCATGCACAGATGGCCAAAATCACGGGAGTGTGCAAGACAAACGCAATGGTCAGACCCGTGCATGAAGATGTAATAAAGAACAAAGGTACTGTAGGATGCACAATGATAGGAGGAACCGCAAACCGGCTTTGGATTGATTTGCACGTAGTTCGAGGATGTGACAGGAATAGCCAGAATCCGGCACATCTCGTCGCAGCCACGTGCCGTGGACCCTTCGATAGCTCCTGGTGCTCCTGTGACACACGGCTGGCACAGGCACTAACTTCCACATAAACCTATGAGACGGAATCACGTGCACCGGATTTCCTCCAACAGAGGCTTCAATTAGGTACCAACCAGTCGGTTCGCTGGATCACTCGGTGTTTGAGCCCGGCTCGTTTGTTAGTGCTGAGCCTACGAGCACAAAGGGCCCTCAGATCTTGCAAGTATTGCGCAGTTTCCGAGAGTTGCCGCATGTTGTCGCACATGGTTTCTTTCGGAAGGGAAGTCATTTTTGGAGGGATCTGTTGGTCCTGTGGAGGCGCGATGTTTGTTTATGTTTGTTTGAAGTTTCAGCCGCATTGCCAAGGTTGGGGCTCGACGCTTGCACGATTGTCGCTGATGGCAGATCACTCTCCAGTTTGCCTGGGGATGATGAGCAGCTTCAGCTACTGGAGGGATCGATCCTGGCAGCGGTGAGGCTCGTTGTCATAATTAGTAACCATCTTGTCGTTTCCATGTTATGCACACTCCGCAGATGTGGACAGCTGAGAGAAGGGAGGACCGAGAGCTTCGGTGCCGGAGTAACCTGCTTTTCTGTTCGACGCCAACACAGAGTTAGGCCCAGGACAGCCGAACAGCCGACAAGCCCGCGTTGTGCAGAGCAGCCGAGCATGTTTTCTGCGAGGCCGGAGCTTGCGGAGGAGAAGGTCCATGAAGAGGGTCCCTCGGCTATCCTGGGGCTGCATGGTTTTGCAACACACCTAGAGAAGAAACATCGCTTCTCCTCGCTAAGAAGCGCGTCCTCGGCTTCTACGAGGGGCGAGCGGAGGAAGCAGTCTCCTAAGCGGCTTGACCGACGAGCCACTCGACCCTCAAAAGACTAAGCACTGTGTATCTTCAACGAAGCGGAGTCGTTTCCATTGGCCGAGGCTGCCAGGTTCTGCTCTCCCTTGGATCCTCACGGAGCGTGCAAAGCGGCTTGTCACAGGAGAGAGAGGGCTCAAAGCGGAAGACATATCAGACATATCTGGTTCCTGTGCCGCGTGATGAGCTGCAGGTTGGCGATTGGACTGGCAGTGCTCCTCAATGCAGCAGCAATGAGCGTGGAAGTCGAAGCTGAATTGCGGTTTGGAAGGACGGGGAGCACTACTTGCATATGGTTGCTGTTGCTACTTCACGTTGGGGCAGGACCTCCATGCTCGGATTGTCTATGTACATCGTGCCATGAATCAATTATCTGTCTTTTGCTGTATGTTGAGTGAGGGTGCCGCGACATGGCCCAAAGCCGACTTCGATGCACTAAGGTTCAATTGGTGTTCCTCCTTTTGTTCATTCTGGAACTTCTGCTGAACATCCGCTGCTGGGGATTGGGCTTCTTTTTCAAGCACGGTGCATATGTGGCCAGGCTGCGGAAGCTTAAGTCTGATACTGCTTTGCCTCAGAAGCGATCTTGTCAAGCCCCTGGCGTAAGGCTCCCACCAAAGGCTCTTCATGGCGGTGTGCGAGACTCGTTCGTGCGTTTGCCTACAAGTTGCAGATACAAGGAATATTTGACTTCTTCGTGGTGCTGACTTCTGTCGTGGATTTGTGCATCATGCGACCGATGGATTTGATTTCTGAGATGTCTGCACGCAAGACAGCGCAAGCCTTCAGCGTGTTCCGAATACTTCAGTTGTTCCGTCTGGCGCGAATTTTCCAGTTGCTGCGCCTGTCGCATGAGCTGTCGCTCCTGGCCTTCAACTTGGCAATGTCGCTGAAGGCGGTCTTTTGGGTCTTCTTGCTCTTGTTCACTTTGATCTACATCGGTGCCCTCTTTTGTGCAAGTGAGCTGGGCCATTCAGATAATGCGCAGCTACGAAGCCTGTTTGGCAATCTTTGGGCCAGCATCTTCTCGCATTTCAAGCTTATGACCCTGGAGCAATGGGTTGACGTCTGCAATCTAGCCATGGAAGAAAATCCGGTATGGGCAGTGTATTTTCTGTGCTTCATAATTCTCACAAACTTGACTTTGGTAAACCTTGTCACTGGGTTAATCATCACTGGCGTCGTGGAGCATGCGAAAGAAGAGGACTGGACATGGTTGGAACAGCTTGTGGAAGAGGTTCCCTTCATCGAAGCTCTGGAAGACTTAGTCGCCAAAGGCCAAGCAAGGAGCGAGACTATGAGTACTTTAAGCTTCAGCGACTTTGAGCTTCTCCTTGCCGAACCAGTCTTTCAGCAAATAGCTTCGCTTTACGGAATCTCGCTGCAAATGGAAGCGCGGCAGCTCTTCGACATCCTAGACTCGGATGGAAACGGCACACTGGAGATCCGGGAGATGGCACAGTGCTTGCTCCAACTCAGGGGTTCCAAGCAATGCTTGCATCCCGTTCATGTGCGACATGAGGTGAACAGGAAAGGTCAAGCTTTCGCTGCCCATGTAGCAGAGCTAGAGCAGAAACTGCCCCAACAGTATTTTCGCGACATCGAGAACTGGGAGCTATCCTTAAAGGACCAGCTTTGCTTCTGGAGCCAGGAGATTCCTTCGCAGACATCTTCTGAGAGAGGATTGAAGAGAAGGCCGAGCCAGGAAGTAGCATCGCAGCCGCAGTGCTCATCCTCCTCCTCCTCCTCCTCCGCCTCCTCATCCAGCTCCTTCTTGAAGTTGTTGCATGATGCCTGTGTCTCCATCGAGGCTGGGCTCGGAAGCTGCGTGGATGTTCAAGCAGAGCATGATGACAAGTAGCGGAAGGTGCTTTGCAGCGCTCTGAAGCTCGCAAGGTCTTGCGCACAAGGATTGCATCAACTGCCGCAGAGCTTCGATCGCTTCAGATGCAGGACAGTCTTGCATCCGTGCCTTGAGGCGAGTAGTAGAGAGACCGGACCGAAGGCAGCCAGCATGCGCGAGGCACATCACTCGCACTCACACTAGTGCAGGAGAAGCACTTGGAAGCCCAACTGTCTGTCTCCTGCGAAAGCAGGGGCACACAGGTGTGCCACGATTTGTGAGACTGGGTGGCCACTCCATCTGAAAGCAAAAGAGCTGCCTGCTGCGCATCAGAGGGTTGCTTGTAGCAAGTATTCAAGTATTCCTTGAGTAACTGCCTGGATCGCGGTACTGCGTGGACTCTGCGCTGGTGATTTTGTTGTTTGGATGACCTGCTCGAGCTGCTTTCTGCGAAGGTACTGAACGAAATCCTGGAGAAAGCTCAGGGCGAGTGGCGCACCCGGTCATTGCAGTGCCGACATGCACTCGCAGCACCAAATCTGCTATCGCGACAGCAGACCTGACGAACAGCTGGGAAGCAAGATAGACCCGCTTGGCCGGGCACGATGTTGCAGTCTTCTCTGGCTTTGGCCAGGATGAGCACCGAGAGCTGCATCACAGTCTCCAGCTCGCACAACAACCAAGACAACTACAATACGTACACATCCGCACAAACGCTGCGTGGAAACCCCAAAGCCGATCAACAGACAAGTGGGAAGACTGTGACGGTTCATCTAGAAGAAGTCTAGATAGGTCCGAACAACAGGTTTTGCGTCCTCCAGATAGATTATGAGAGGGACATAGGTGACACAAGGTTTCAACAACACCCCGGCGCACATTTTGAGCCTTCATGCAGACAAGACAGATGCATAGCACTTTGTTCATCTTCGCAACAGTGCAAGTCTCGAGGAGTCGTCGCATGGTTTGCATTGTTACAACCCACGCTGGGCTTGCAGATGCAACCTTCGCAATGTCTCCCTGTTGTATGTTTCCTGTCTCCGTCTACGTGCCCGGAGCCCAAATTCATACTTCTGCGGGCCGTACGGGTTTCGAGGCTTGGGGCAGTAGCTCAGGAAGCTCGGGAAATTACACATGCAGCTCACATACACCACCCTTGCTATTCTAAGAACACGAACGGGAGTAAGTCTACGCGGACGACAGCCCGGATATGCCTGGATCAGACTTCCCACTGTGAGGCTCTGTCGTGTTCTGGGCTTCTAAATGCAGCCAGTCAGATCTATCAACACTTTTCACGGAGACGTCGTGAAGGCCGTGAATGAAATTTGCCCAAACGGTTTGGGGCCACAGCGAAAGTACTTGAACTTCTCATGTATGTCTGAGGCTCGAACAGCTGCGGGGCAAAGAGCAGAGAGATCTGCACAGCTTCGAGCTGCGAAAGCAGCCCGTGCCTTCATTGCTGATGCTTCCAAGTTATCCGAGGTCTCCGGTGATGACGTTCGTAATGCTGCCTAGATTCGCGATCTAGTTTGCGCAGCACGGTAGTTTCAGCCCATGGCTGCTTTAATGCTGCTTTGACATGCAGAAATGAACCTACAGACATCCTGCCCGTTTCAGAGCGTCCTCAGCCAAGTTCATGTCCAATGTAGTACAAGGTCACTGGCTGATCAGATGGCCTTCAAGAAGCGAGACTTGGCTTCGCGCTCGAACTGAACTTCTGTGAGTCAGGTGTCGTCGTGCATTTGGCTTGAGTCATTGTGGACGGGGAGCAGACCACGTTGGCGTTGGGTGCCCAGGCTGCTGCGAAGGGAACCCGCAGCGAAGCTTCCCAAAGGAAGGCAGCATCCGCTTCTCGTCTGCGCTTATCACGACAGCGAGTCCTGTGAGGACTCTGCTGGAGGTTAGGTTTGCAAAGATACCGCACCTTCTTCGAGGGCATGGAAGCTTATCCTCAATGAAATATTCTAACTTTTCAGGTTGATTGGTCAGGGCACCCCAGCAAAAACGGCCAAAAATCCCAGTCATTTCGTGCAGATGCAGTAGGAGTAGGGTTGGCAGCAGCAGCAGCAGCAGCAGCAGAAGAACAGCAAGCGGCAGTGGCAGTGGAAGGGGAAGGGCGGACGTGGAGCTTAGATCCACAACAGCGGAATGGCTGTCGTTGGTCTCACAGTTTTGCGCACTAGAAAAGCTGACAGAGCTGTAGATGGGTTGTCCGTGCCCGGCCGGGCGTTGAACACCCCCCAACGCCTGCTTGCCTAGCGTGAGTGCGTGTTGACGGCCAACAGTGAGTGCAATCAGACACTCATCGAGTGCATCTTGCTTCGGGCCTCCAGGAAAAAATTGCTGAAACCAGGGCCGAATGCGTTTAACAGGCCTTGGAAAATCCATTTGGGTTTGCGCTAAGCTCCGAGAGCTGACCAGCGCGTGGGTTGTTGCTGAAACAGGACAACTTAAAGTATGTTCGGGCGTGGGAACGGCATTGAACATCAAGGCAGTTCTGCCGAAACTAGGGCCGAGTGGTTTGGCAGGCCTTGGAAAATGCATTTGGGCTTGGTCGGAGCTCCGGGAACTGATTCGAGCAGTTTCTGGGTGGCTGCATTTTCAGGGGTGTAAAGACAGCATTGAGCTCCAGATTTGTTGGAGCAGGGCCAAATGCATTTAGCGGGCCTTGGAGAGTGCATTCAGGCTTGGTCGAAGGCTTCGGGAGCTCGATTTGGGTTCAGAGACTAGCGCCAGGAACACCAGCAAGGCTGAAACAGCTTTAAATCATGAAAGCTAGCTTTGTGGGCTTGCGGGAGTTGCCGCTTACCATTCATTTACGTAGTAGAGAACTACGTCAGAATGGCGTGCAGCACCTTATCTTGTCCGTTCATTATAGTTAAACCGGGGGGGTGGTGGCCGGCTTCAGTAAGGTCTATTTGGCAGCAGCTGGAACTGTGGGTTTAATATGCAAGGATTGATTTGTAGGTCTTTGTGCAGTCTTTGCACACAGTATGAGGTCTGAAAATTGTGTATAGGTTTATGACTTGCTGAGCTGTCGACCGCGGGAGCACTCTGAGTCCATCGAGCGATCCCCACCTACGACAAGAGGATCAATGCCTGAAGAGATGAGGGGAACACTCGATGCCAACGCCAGAAGAAGTTGAGGATTTCAACAGGACCATGCAGCGCCAGGCCGCCACAAAAAATTGAGAGGCCTCCATTAGGGGTTTCAAGAGGACCTTCAAAAGGGTGTTCTAGAACATCATCGCCGAAAACGATAAAGGAGGGCCTTCCCTGTGATTGAGGGTGTCTTAGTGGATCAAGCTGGGCACGCGTTGAGGGATGTCAAGAGCATCGTCACCAGAACAGATGAGGGGGACACTGCTAGCGACTGTGGATTTCAAGAGGGTCATCACCAGAAAAGGTGCGGGGCACCGATAATGGGGACACTGCTCGCGAGGAGAAGTTGATAAGGGTCATCAGCAGAAGCAATGAGGGCAGCACGGCTGGTGATTTAGGACTTGAATATTCAGTCAAGGTGAAGGGGACACTGCTTGCGATTGACGGTTCTAGGAGAGGGACGTTGCTTGTGATGGAGGGTTTCAAGAAAAGAGATGAGATGGGAACTCCTTGCGAATCAAAACTTAAAACTGAGCATCAACAGGAAGGTGAGGAGAACATCCAAAGGGATGAAGGGACTTTCTAGGTCCTTCACATAGGTAGAACATTTCCCATTCCAGTGGCTTGGAGAGACTTTCATCTTTCTTCCATCGCAACGAGTGTCTCTCGCATCCCTTCATCTTGTCTGGAGATGATGCTCTAGAAAACCTTGAAGCGCAATGGGTGTCTAAACTTATACCACAAACCTTAAGGACCAAGGCTCGCGAATTGTCTCTTTGGAAGAGAACTTAAACCAAAATAGGTTTTGTAATTTGTGTCTTTTGCAAAAAAGTATCCCAATCATCCTGCTGTGCCTTGCCACCCTGCTCCGGATTCTCCTAAGACTTCAGTTGGAAAATTACGCTTCCCCTCTACGTTGTAAAGCTGTGTATCTGTTCATGCAGGACAGAGTAACAAGAGCGATGACATTGCATTTGGCTCAAGCATGAAAAAGCCTCTCATGAGGACCGTGCTGGGTTCAGGGCTGGGGCTCCTGGTTTGGGTTCCCGTCCCTTCCGCTTTTCTTTTTCTTGCCCTACTTGGTGGTGTCCTCGGTTGGGGTCAGAATAACTGGTTATCAGCCGTAGTGCTTCTGTTCTTCGGATTCCTTGAAGGTTTTATTTAGACTCGTCACATGTCTGATCGGCCTCCGCCTGTTGCCGAGCAGGGTCCCGTCGAGGAAGCTTCGGCGCCAAGGACCCGCAAAATCAGATCGGGCCGGGCAGCCCAGAGAAAGAGGAAAGCCCACATTCGTTGGCGACTCCAGTCGACGCCCGACTTATCCGAAGATCAAATCTATATCGTCCACAGGAATCGTCCACGCGGAAAAGTCGGCAGGGGTGGACTCCTGTTTGTCTTGAAGAAGACGAGGCGCTTGAGCTCCGGAGTGGTACGTTGCCAAGTTTGGAGCAGTTTCCAAGGGTGTTGATTTATCGGGTCCGTAGTCCCCTCCGCAAGAGCCTTCGTCTTCTTGTGGTGCAGCCGCCGGAAGTTTCAACATACCGGAGCCTGTGCCTCCTCCACAAGCTAGCTCCTTCTACCCCGCCGAGTACTTTTGAGGCCATTCCTGTTCTTCCTGAGCAAGCTTCGATCCGCCTCCTCGGTGGCCGTTGCACCTTCGGAGACAGTCAGGCATAGCCTGTCCCGAAGCAGCGGTACACGTTTTTAGTTCGTGTGTGTTTTCGCAGGTCCTGAATCTTCTACACCGCAGTGTATGGCTCTAGCACGTGATCCTTCGTAGCCTCTTACAAAAGAAAACCCGCCCACCCACTCCAGGTACGACTATGCCTCAAGTCC